ATAAACGATAGATTGCAAACCACAGCCGACAGTATCGGTTTATATGAATCTCTATGAAATTTGTGATTGGAATTAATAGAAATAAAAATTAAATGATGTTGAGGTTGTCAGATACAGAGTGAGCAAAAGTCGGTTAACCGCTATTGGCTTAATATTTGTAGCAACAACGTACAGTCGTGTTCACGGGACATGCGCACTCAAGGTCAAGCGCTGTTGTGAGATCCGACATGCCGTTGGCTAAACGGGCTGAGCCAAGCGCCCACGAGCTTCGTGTGAGACAAAATCTCAAAAGAGAAGATTATCAGGAAATTCTACTACATCTTGAAAACAAATTTAATGCAAAACATATATCTTGGGGTTCTCGCTTGACAAATACAAAAAGAAGAAAACTGAAACATGCAATAGAGAATTGTGAGGTGCTCTCCACTGGTGAGCCAACTTAGGGGTAACCGGGACACATTTGGACAGGGCAAATTCACCGCCTAAAATAGATGCAACAGTGTGCACGGTCGAACAAACGTCGTCACAATTCTGTCTATATTTGAATTTTTCTATTTAATTTTCTAAAAATCCCTAGATCTCTAGTTACCATTGAGGTCTTATATATAATCTAGAGAGCGTATGTGGTGGTGGTGGGGGTAATCAGAAAGTCAGACATGTTGAATGTACCGACCTGAACTTAGCTATAGTTTCAAGTCTCTATTGTACCTACAATTATAACCTCACAATTCTCATAAACATATTGTTATTTTTATTAAAATTTGATTTTTGTTGAAAGTTTTCGAATTCTTTTCGTTTCACATATGTTTTTTATAATTTGATAGGTTGGACGATTATTTACAACAGTCCATAAAATGTTTCTGGTTACTTGACTTGGAATTAACAATTAAAGACCTCGGTATAAGAAGGGGACAACTCCTTCTCTTGATAAATGGAGCTACTCCCTTCTTGCAGCAAGGTCTTCAATTGAAGTTCAAGTAAAGTTTATTATTAAGGACTGTTCAGTTTTTTTTAAATAAACTAACAATTATTTATAAGCAAAGGTTAACGTGATCAATCGGAATTGCTTTAAATATTTTCTTCTTAGTTTTTGTTAATTATAAGGGTTATGGCTAAAAATTATTAAGTTCTTTTAAAATATCATATAATTAATAATTATTTATCAATAAAAAATTAATGTTTTGTTTTGGTTATTATTTTCTGCCTTTCCAGTTTATAATAATGTAAATTCTTGCATAAGTATCTATAAGAATTTCGAATTTCCCGCTAAGTTGGTACATCTAACATGGCGACCTTTCTGGCTTCATTTTAGGCGTGGTGGGGACAACAGCATACGCACTCTAGATTATATATAAGACCTCAATGCTAGTTACTTTTAATATCAACCTAATTTTTCCCCCCAAACTTTGGATGGTACCCCTCTCTATACTTAATACATTGAGATGTGACGTCACCGCAGGAGCAACTTCCGCTCTACAACCGGCATTCTTACACTACTAATGGCTGCAGTAAAAAGGTGGTGTCGGTATTTCAACAAATCTTTCTACAAATTAAAATTATAGTTTTTTGTGCCAAGAAGTAAATATTTTCCACTTCACTTCTTAAGCTTCTAGATACTATATATTTTAGACACTCAATGCTAACCTCAAAAATTGTATAGCTTATTGTTTCCACAAACTGCGTACGGGTTACTTTCGGGCAATTTAACTGGGACACTGTCCCAATATACCCTGATTTGATTTATTTTATTATAAATAGCTTTCAGCACTTATTTTTCTTCTAGAATGGTTCGCACATACATACGAAAAAATGAAAGAGCCAGTATATCAGAAAATGTTATACAAGCGGCAATAACTGTTATAGTTGAAACTAGAACGCCTGTTAGACAGGCGGCTTCAGTACAGAATATTCGAAAGTCGACACTTCAAGATCTTGAAAAGATTTCGTAAAAACCAAAATGGAGATTCTGGAAATGATAGCGATAATGATAAAAATACGTCTAGATATGCAGCAAGATGTGTGTTTGGTGCTTGAGAAGAAAATAAACTAAAACAATATTTAATTCAGACATCCAATATGCATTTTGGGTTAACATACCAAAACATTCGTGCTTTGGCCTACGAATGCGCAGTCAAGCTGGAAAAGAAACACCCTCCTTCGTGGGATACAAGCAAAATGGCAGGCGAAGACTGGTTAGCTGCTTTTATGAAAAGAAACCAAAACTTATCCCACAGAAAACCTGAAAATACTAGCCTCGCAAAAGCTAATGCTTTTAATCCAACTAATGTGAAACAGTTTTTTGACAATTATAGGAAACTAATGGAGAAATACAACTTCACGCCAGACCAGATTCTAAACTGTGACGAAACAGGAATAACAACTGTTGTACAGGCCCCTAAAGTACTTTCCGCCGCACAAAGCGGAAAGAAGCAGGTTGGGCAGGTGGTTTCTGGGGAGTGTGATACATTATTAACATTCTGCGGAATTATAGCGGTTTCTGGAGTTTCCTTGCAAGAAGCATAAGAACTGCAGTGCCGAAAATCCAATATTACTCATAGTTGATAACCACTATGCCAAACCAATAGAATTCCTAGTGATAAAACTAAATTAAATAAAATGACAGCCGAATTAAGAGCATTAACAGGTAACCACAAACAAAATAATATTCAAAATTACTCAACTAACCTTACTGACGATGCCAGTACTGATTATTCTCTGTGGAAGGCAACAAGAAAGCTTAAAATTCCAAAAATACATACACTTTCAATTCGAAATAGTAATGGAAATTGGGCTAAGAGCAATCAAGATAAGAAAAGACAGTCTAACAACTATGTTAAATAGTGTTCCTAGCATACTTCAAAGTGATCTGCACAGTAATATACCACATGTAGGGATGAAAGAACTGTATTATGAAATACATATACTAAATAAAAAGAAATCAGTAGGCTATGAACTAATTAGTAATGGAAAAACATTGAAACACATATACCAAAAAGGGGCGATTACAAAACTATTACACATAATTAATGCTGCTTTTAAACAGAAATACTTCCCAAGTATATGGAAAGTTGCTGAAATAATAATGATACCAAAACCTGGTAAACCCCCCACAGATGTTACATCATATAGGCCAATCACATTATTATTCTTACTATCAACACTACTTGAAAAATTACTATTAAAAAGACTAAAACTTGTCATAGAAGAAAATATACCAATACCAACACATCAATTTGGGTTTCGGAATAAACATGCAACAATAGACCAAGTGCATAGAATAACGAATACTATCGAAATAACAATGGAAGAAAATAAAGTCTGCTCCACCGTATTTTTGGATGTTGCACAAGCTTTCGACAAAGTCTGGTTTAGATGGTTTATATTACAAACTAGACCAAATACTACCATTAACATATAATCAACTATTAAAATCGTATCTTTCTGATCAATACTTACACGAAATACAAGCCGGAGTTCCTCAAGAAGTGTGCTTGACCCAACACTGTACTTACTCTAAACATTCAACCTTCCTCAAATACCAGAAACTTTAACAGCTACATTCGCAGACAGCGATCTTGGCTGTTGCAGAAAATGAAGTAGTTGCAGCAAATAAATTACAATTGGCCTTAAATCCAATAGAAAACTGGACCAAACGATGGCTAATAAGATTAAATACAAATAAATCGACATACATAAACTTTACTTATAAGAAAGTAAACTATGTCCCGGTACACATAAACGGCAAAATATCTTGGTATGACTCAAATGGAAAGCTCACGTCAAAAAAAAACGTGAGGAACTTGATATCAAATTTAGACACCTATATTGGCTTATACTATATATTATTATAATATACAACCAAGTATTAAAACCAAAATCGACATAAGGAATCCAATTGTGGGTTTGTACCTGCAAGACAAATGCACGTCTGATTCAAAGATTCCAAAACAAAGTATAACCCTTGGTATATAAGAACCACCGACCTCCATCGCAACTTGGAAGTAGCATCGGTGTCATCAGAAATAGCACCATCCGCATCTAAACATGAGAAGAGAATGCACGATCATCCCAACATCGCTATCCAGTTTCTCGACAACGAGGATGTCCTGCATCGCCTTCAGAGAATGAAGCTGTTCGATTTAGTGACCTAGTGCCCTAGTTGATTCAAACGCGAGCAACAGTGCGGAATTATAACAAAAACAGTAATAACCTAAATATGTGTACAACAAGATGTAGATTGCCAGGCATTTTAAAACATATGGTTTTCCAAATAACCCATCTTTAGATCGATAAAGGGCAAATTCTGCCATTACCTCTGCAGACTCATCTGGGCTTGTTATAGTAGCCATATAGTCTATAAACTCTGTTCCTTGTATTTGTTTATTGTTCTTCTCTATTAAGATGAATTCCATTAAAATTTGGATCTAGAAATATTTACAGCAAGATGGATTGGATTTATTAACTAAAAAGATTTGACTTCCCTTTCTGGGAAGTAAAAAATTTAAGATTTAAAGGGCTTTTTACAGCCAAGGTTGGTTAAGCAAAGGGCTGTTCAGGTGGTAAAAGTTTGAAACTTTTACCCAAAAAATATCTTCATCCAATATCAACTTTGCAACTCGTTTACTGAGTATATCGTCAACCGTTTCACAAACTGCTAATGTTTTTAATGCATATTATGTATCAAGAAGACTTTTAAAACGATGAATAATTGATCCCCATCGTGTTTTCACAGGTAATTTTAAGGAAATGGCTGCTTTGGTGTCATTTCTTTCAGTTTGTATGTTTTTGAAAGTAGCCAATAAACTGTGAGAATTGTTAATTTCTTTGATGACAGCCTTAACATCTTCCATAATAGTAGACATGGTTTTCATTTTTGAAATATCTCCAATTAACAAATTTTACGTATGAGCAATGCATCCATAAACAGAAATATGTTTGCACTTTTCATGAAGTGTATTTCTTGCTTTAACTATTGCACTGGCATTGTCGGCTACTATCGCAAAGAATTTTTCAGTACTAACTTCTCTTAAAATTTTATTCGCAAAGTTTTATATAGCACAGGGTAATTTATTTGATAATAAATAACGTGTAAGCATTTTGAAAGGTGGTCTCAAATGTTTGAAAAATGATTGCCAGTGATTATTTTCAACAATGGCAAATGGCGGTACCTGATCATCATTCTTGCTTCTCTAGAAAACTATAAAGTCGCTAGGTAAGCGATTTTTAACAAACGCATATTTTCAAAATCTGTAAACTGCACCAAGCCAACGATTCTCTATAAATTAATAACCTCAATTTCCCAGAGTACCAGTAAAAGGTGCAGGAGGATTTACAGAAGTATATTCCAGGGCTAGTGGAGTGCTGTTTAACATCTACATATTTTAGCTGGAAGGGAGAATTTTACGAGCAATGTGAAAGGGCTTTGTCATCGGTAATCGCCAATTTCTACATGGATATGTTTGAAGAAGAAGCGTTAAAGAAGAGCCCGCGAAAATCAAAGCTATTGTTTCGTTGCGTGGCTCACACATTTGCGATCTGACAGCATGGAAAAAAACGTCTGCAACAGTTCCTAAATCACCAGAACTCGCAACACACCATGATCAAATTTACCATGGAAACGGAAGCTGCTAAACAGTTACCTTACTTGGATGTTTTGGTCACTAGGAAGACCAAACTAGAAACATTCGGTTATAGCCGTCTTGAAAGACGCACTGCTAAACCCTAATGATTCTAGTTGTAGGTCAAGAGTTAGTTCTAATGATAGTGCTAGTGTTAGTTTTAGTTGTTATTCAGGGCCAGGTTACTGTACATCTTTATTGAACTAAAAGTAGAACAAATACTAGACTTAGAACTAGAAACATACGGGTTTAGCCATGCGTCTCTGAAGACAGCTAAATCCGAATGTACTAGCAATACTCCATATGCCTTTGCATCAAAATAAGGGGTACCTGGCAGTGGCACTCAAGAAGTAGGTTCTTTTTTGGAAGCATTTATAGCAACATATTTTCAAGAAGATCCTCAAGATTTTATTTTACGGCCAGATACTTATGGAGACCAGAAATACAACATCAAAACCCTGATTTTAAAAACTATTTCAGCTGACTTAAGAATTTAAAGAAGAAATACTATGAGCCAGCAGAAACGAATTAATTTATTGACAATACACTTCAATCCCAAACAATATTTACATTTTGCTATATAGAGCTCTGCCTTTCTCAACATGTCCCCAAAATAAAAAGGATACTTCTCATTAGAACAAATTGTTTTTTATCAGAACAAGTTTATCTTAATTTTTGTTGATTTACTTTTGAGTTGTAACATTTTAATACAATAGTGTTGCATTGACTTATTTCAACGAATTTCTTAACCAGATATCTTAAAAATACTAAAAACGACTTTTATCTTAAGAACCAAAACTTTTTCTTTGATCAGTGTATGGTGACTATATAGCATAAAGTAGTCGCATTTTATGTCCATTTAGATCTAAAATCCTTTAAAATAACCTCACATATTTAAACTGATTTTTAATTGCTGTTAAATCTATTAATTAATAAAATCGTGTTTAGGTTTATTTTAGAGAATCTTTCCAAATGTGTATAAAAACATGTGTTAAAGGGTTTTAAAGTTATCAAACAACTTACTTCCTTCATTTTAAAAAAAGCCATTCCAGTTAAAAGAGAATCGGATCCGGCTTGATGTTGAGGTCCTATCCTTTCCAAATCCAATTGTTCGGCAACTTCTTGTAAACCACCTTTCAAGTTTTTACACGATTTCATCAAGTACTATAATAAAATGATATTTAAAAAAAAAATTTTTTATATACATTTTTCTCTTTCTACAGTACCTTAACATCATATATTGTTGGAAAATAAAGTTTTAAAAGTTCAAAAAACTCCGACTCGTCCTGTGGAAGGTTGTTGTCCGTTAACAGTTTGATAAGGTATCCGAAATCGTACCCGGAATGAAACGACAACCACTTGATGTTATCCATTAACACGATACCGGATGACATTAACAACTCCGCAAAATCCAACGGTTCGATTCCTTCTTCTTCGTGTTTTTTAAATTGTATCCCGGAATTTTGTAGCAACTCGATACTATCCTGTGCATACATGTCCTCTCTATCGTTAAAGAAAACATGTCGATTATATTTCAAAAGGATTTTTAATAAATTTACTTACGATAAATTGAATTTAAAGTTGAACTGCCACGTTGTATACGAACCGCCTGGAGTTTTGCCGTTTTCATCTAGAAACGTGAGCCCCAATTGTATTATCCTTAAGAGATCGACGTTGCACCGTAACAATTGGTATTGATAGTCCGCTGTACTTCGAAACTCGCCAATTGGCCTCGCTACGACACCAGGAAATTCCGTGTCCATCGCGACGTATGGATACTTTTGTACAATCTACGAATGAACTTTATTTATCCAAGCTAATAACTGAACCAAAAGAAAAAAGGAACGATGGAAACGAAATGTGGACATAAAATGGAAAATTTGATTGATGGTAATGAATCAAAAAGAGATAAATTTATACAAGAAAAGTGAAAAAAATAAAAAAGTTGAACAAAATTTGTTTTTGTGTTTGAGATATATTTATTACTTAGTTATTTGCATATAGAGAGTACATAAAAAAGTTCAAAAGTTATTATACTATAAGTTATACACCACTTGTAACAACTTAAATACATTCATTTCAATAGATATCTGTATTGCCGATACAGATATCAGCACTTCGTTAGCAATCATCTATTATTGAACAATTCCTTCAGGTATTATACTACTCCACAGCGTACTACCCCCTCAGATTTGATCGAACATCGCGGAGCACTTGAAACTGAATCTATCAAGTCTATATTTGCGATGCAGAATCCAAATAACTTTTAAATTATGTAAAATGTAAAAATTTTAACTTGAAACAACTCAAAAGAAAAATCAAGTGATGTCAATGTATTAGGTGTAACGTTATTAGATGGTTATTATACTATAAATAAATAATGATGTTGCGAGATATCGTGGAGATTTTTAACGATATTAAGGACGATTAATATATGATGAGAGACATTCTTGGCCAGGACAGTGTTTAGAAAGGTCTGGGATAATATTGAGGATGGCGCAGAAAATGTTAAGGAAGAGCAGACTGTAGAGAGCTCATTAAAAGAACTACCAAGAAAAGCAATCATCATGTTAACATATTTGTTCAATGACTACATGAGACTGAAGTCTGTTTTATGACGGCACAGATAATTAATGACAAAAAACCTGACTAACTGGCGGAGCAAGTTGGATCACACAGGCCAATCTCGCTCTTATCTGAGATTCCCAAATTGTTTGAAAGATTGTTGTTAAAACGTCTCAAACCACTCATTAACATGCCAGACTTCTAGTATGGATTTTATAATTGCCATTCCACTAAAGATCATGTGCTTAGAATGACAACCGTTATTGAGAATGCATTTGAAGAGCAAAAATACTTATTTATAAGTTGGGCAAAAAGCTGCCATGGAACTATTGAAATCATATCTTTCGGAAAAAATGTTTAGAGTATCACATAAAGGGGTATACTCAACATTCAAATCGATCTTGACTGGAGTTTCACAATACAGTGTCTTAGAACCATTCTTTTATCTATACAATATACCGCAGTCATATTCGTTGATGACACAATTATTATGGTGGAAGATTCAGCCCAAAAGAAAGCTATCAAAAAACTTCGAGTAGCAGTTAACAAAAATTCATTGATAAATTAGGGAAAATACAGATTAACAGCTTGAAATCTCTTGGAGGAAGCCCTCTTCCTCAAATAGAATTAAGAAAATATCTTGATTTTTACATTGATGGCAGACTGAACTAAAAACATTACGTTAGACAGAAAAATTACCAGAGAGATGCTCTTAACTGGATCTGCAATCAATGAGACTAGTTAATCAGAACATAATTAAGCCTACCTGGAGTTACTGAATACAACTGTGCCACCAAAGTATGTTTGCGTGGCAATATTACGAGGCATATGCAAGACACGCCACGCACTTACTAAAAATGCCACACTGTACCTGCCTCTCATGAACACGTACATACAATTAAGCTATGTTCGGAAACACCTTTAGCCCCCTCTCATTTTGCTTGTTATTCAGGCACAATACAATAGTGGTAACAGAGTAATGTAAATTAAGATTGTATTAAACATGTTCACAATATTCACTAAAAGATACCCAGGTATAATTCTTCGATATATCAGTAACCAGGACCACTAATCACCAATAACACAAGATGTCCGAATTTATTACAATTTGTACTATTTTTGTGAACAGTCATTGCATCAAATGGAAGGAGTATGTTCATAATATTATTGAAAAATTGGATTCAAATTATTGCAGCATTTCATTAATTCGTATACATTCGTATAATACGCTATTTTAAAAACCAAAGACAAAATTAAGTTGTCAGCAACTACTCTATCACATCGTCTAGTGCAGCAAAGATAACTCAATCAAGAAGCAATATTTTAGAAGAAATGGGAAAACGTCTTTGTATTTGGATTGATGATGAAATCGAACGCAACATGCCGCTAAGTCAAAAAACCATCATGCAAAAGACCATAAATATTTTTAATCACATTCAAAATGAAAGAGAAGATACGAGTGAAAATTACAGCTGGCCGAGGTTGGTTCGATAATTAAAAAAAAAAGAAGCAACCTCCATAATATTCGAATCACCGGAGAAGCTGCTGCCGCTTCAATTTTTCCTGCAACGTTAAAAGCCATAATTGAAAGAGGAAATTATCCTCTAGAATTGAACTTTCATATCGCGAGAAAAAAACACGAGCACCGGGTTTCAAAGCTGCAGAAGACCGTTTCACCCTTCTTCTGGGTGGTAACGCTAATGGCGATTTAAAATTAAAACCTCTGCTTATGTATCATGTCAAAATCCCAAGGGGTTTTACCTATCATTTGGGAATTCAATAAAACATCTTGGATCACAACTCATAAGAGCCATTTTTCAAAATTGGTTTACAACACATTTTTGTAACACTACGTGGTTAATTCAACCAGGGAGTTATTGCAAATTTTAAGGCACATTATTTTCATCGTACATTTCAACAACTTATTGATAAAACAGAAGGTGGAGATAAAGAAACAATTTTGCAATTTTGGAAAAAATATCATCCCGGATGCCATAGGCAATATCATTAAGAAGTGATATATATCACTAAGAAGTGATATTGCCTATTGTATACATGAATGGAGTGTGGAAGAAGATATGGCCGGAGGTATCCCAGGATTATCAACGAGAAGAGCCTATTGTTGGTCAAATTGTCAATCTAGTCGAAATAGCAGGACTAGGAGATGTAGATGAGCAAGATATTGAGGAGTTACTGCAGGTTTCTGGGGAAGGCCTTACCAACGACGACCTTCAGGAACTGTCAGAACAAGGAATCGAAGTAGGCGGAAACAGTGGTTCTGAAGACGATGAACCAAAAGAAATTACTACATTTTTTTAAAAAAAGGTTGGAAACTATAACCGAAATAGTTTTGACAAATTTTGACAGCAGTGTAAAAGCAAGAAGAGGAGTTTTGGATGTTACCGACATTTGCTTAATGAAAGAAAAAGAAAGCGTCAACTGACTCTAGACGATTTCTTCACCAAAAAATCAACAATATCAGAAGAACTAGGACCTTCATCACAAATATATACTTTATATATGTATGTTCGTACAAATGTTATTTAAAACATATATTATATACAAATTACTAGTATTACAGTTTAAAATTAATAACTATAAAGGGAAAAATAACTAAATCACCTCATACACAAAAAATTAGTCAAAGGAGTACCAGACCGTTGCAACTCGTACACACCGGCATCTGTGGACTAATAACCCCAAGCACCTACAACGGTAAGACGTACTTTATAAACTTCATAGATGACTTTACACATTTTATGGTAATATATCTAATAACTGACTTATTGGTAATAAGTCAGAAAAGTGAAACACTAGGCAAATTTAAATAATTTGAAGCTTGGATCACCAATCATTTTGAAAAACGGATTTCAAATTTAAGATGTGACAACGGAACAAAATATACGTCAAAAGAAATGCAGTGTTTTTGCAAAGAAAAAGGAATAAGAATCCAAAATACAGTGAGATATACTCCGGAACAGAATGGAGTTGCTGAAAAGGCACAATAGAACGCTAATAGAGAAATCAAAATCCATGTTAATAGACGCAAAGCTAAACAAGGAAATGTGGGGCGAAGCTGTAGTATGTGCCACCTTATAAATAGAATCCCAACTTCTGCACCAAAGGACAACAAATTACCAGCAGAAAACTTCTATGGAAAGAAAATAAATTTCGAAAAATTAAAAGTTTTTGGATGTGTTGCTTATAATTTGAAACCAAAACAACTACGAAAGAAATTTGACCAAAACGTTGATGTTTGTATAATGATAGGATATACCGACAATGGCTTAGCTATCGACTTTCGGATCCGATAGCTAAGAAATTACTTTATGGAGAAAGCCTTGTATTTGATGAAAATAAAAGTATTCATCATTTAAATACGAAAACCGTAGAACTTATGAAGAGGAACAATCTGAAACCGAAGAGAAAAATGAAGCAGAGGAAAGTAATAATAAAATTGCAACAAGAGAAGACGAAAACCAAACCAGAAAAAGCCACCGACAAAAAAGACTACCTAATCGCTTAGAAGATTATGATCTAAGTGCATTACTTCTTGCACTACATATGGAAACGTTAGAAGATCTGCCAAGAAACTACAATGAAATATTGAAAAGAGAAGATTCACAAGAATGGATTAAAGCTGTGGAGGAAGAATTGAATTCGCTAAAAAGGAATAATACTTGGAAATTAGTTACAAAAGTTCTTTTAAGTTCATTACCTAGAAATGAACTTAAAAGAAAATACCCAAATAGTTACTGTTCCTTATCGAGAGCTCATTGGTTGTCTAATTTATGCAGCATTAGGAACAAGACCTGACCTACGCACCGCTTAAATTCAGGTAAATATCTCAATATATCAAGGCAGCACATTGAGCCTTTGGTCGACAATTTGCCATTAAATATGTGTCAAATGATATATTTTCAGTATGACGGAGCACCAGCACATAATGCCAGAGTTGTTAGTGAATTTTTAAATACTACTACAAACTTTACCAATAATTGGAACAATGTTTTCCATCATGGTATGGTTATCACCATAACAACATTCAGTTTTAAATCCATACAATAGTTTTAGAAAGAACAAAAAAAAAATAATACATTATGTTCCATATACAGGGTGGTTCAGTTTTTAATCGGGAAACTTTGCTAGAAGGTAGTACTTGCCAAAATAACACAAGTTTTTTATATAAACGTAGGGTCGCAAATCGTTTGTTTTCGAGCTATGAGCTGTCAAAATTAAGCCAAAAATTTACATTTTGTTTTGTAACACCTCCGTATACCCAATTTGAATAGAATCGGTTGAAATACACGTGTACTATTAAATAAAAATCAATTCAAAAATTTAACTTAAACAACCTGTATCTTCAAAACAAAGCGTTTGTCGACCTATGTTTATATGAAGTTTTTGTGCTAATTTTAAAAGATCTATGGACTATTAAAGTCCTGCTATAAAAACCTGAAACACCCTGTATAAGGTCGCTGATGCACTTACAAAGCCTGTACTGTTTCGTTATCGAAATGTATAATATAAAACAGTTAATAACGGTTTATGAAATATGATGTAAGTAAAAGTAAAAACTTTTTGAGAAATACTAAAATGTTTAATTCAATTCAGGCAGACATGTTTAAATTAAACATTTTAGTATTTTTCAAAAAGTTTTTACTTTTACCTACATATATTTTGTTATATTAGAGAAATATGGAGAATTTCATCCCATTTAAACGTTTATGGATAAAATAAAGTATATTCTATTTAAATAAATAAATAAGTTAAAAAAATATCATTTTTTGATGTCATGAAAATATTCGTACACTGATACGACACTGATATTACTTCATTATGCTGATTTGCCGATTGTTAATTTTCGGTTCACTTTGGTATATCGTAAACTTTGACTTGTTAAGACATGTTCAGTGCGACAATTGCATCACATTTACAACATTAATTTACAATGAGCGCCCATAGAAAAGAAACTAGCAAAGAATTAAGAAATTTAATTGTTAAATTCAAAAACGAAGGGAAATCGTTGAGCACAATCTCAAAACTTGTTAATAAACCACGATCTATAGTGCAATATATCATAAAAAACTTCAAAACTAATAATAATGTGAGCAATAAACCTCGGGCAGCAGGTAGCCCTTCGAAGTTAAACTCACGAGACAAACGAAATATTATTTGTAAAGTATTAAAACCAATTGTGAGTGGTCTAATATTGGCGGCAGAGGTGTCGAAAGAAACAGGAAAGGATATCCACCCAGAATGTATTCGTCGGCTGTTACGGAAGCAAGGTTTTAATGGAAGACAAATGCGGAAAAAGCCGTTTATCAATCCAATAAACCAGAAGAAACGCGTGGAATTTGCTCAAGAACATATTGACAAACCTATGGAATTTTGGAACACCGTATTATTTAGTGATGAATCTAAATTTAATATTTTTGGATCGGATGGACGGGGTAAAGTATGGAGAAAACCGAATACTGACTTCAAACTCGAGCATCTCTTACCTACGGTGAAACACGGTGGTGGATCAATTATGGTTTGGGGATGCATGGCGGCGGCTGGGGTAGGGAATTTGGTTTTTATTGATGGAATTATGAACCGTTTTTATTATCTTAACATATTGAAGGAAAATTTGCGTGCCAGCGTTGATAAACTAAATATAGGAAGGATATGGATACTTCAGCAGGATAATGATCCTAAACATTCAGCGAAGATAGTTAAGGAATGGCTGTTGTATAATGTTCCAAAGCAATTAAATTCCCCACCTCAGTCCCCTGACCTAAATCCCATAGAAGATTTATGGGACGAAATTGAAAGAAGAGTGACAAAAAATAGGATAATGAGCAAAGCCTCCCTTAAAGAAGCGATTTTGAAAGAATGGGAGAATATTACGCCCGATGTTACTAGAAACTTAGTATCGTCGATGCAAAACCGTTTAAAAACTGTTTTAGAGCAGAAAGGTGGACCGACACGATACTATATAGTTATTTATTTAATAGGATTTTTCTTCAGTTATTTTGTTAATAATTCGTTGTACGAACACTTTCGTGTGATCAGAAAAAGTAATTTATCTTTGTTATCTTTTTTAATTCTTACTAGAAGCATATATTTTAATTTTAAATCATTATTAATCGTTGAAAATATGTAAAATGTTTCATAACAGATATAAATAATTATTTTGTTCATAAATACGAATTTCTAGCCTGTACGAAGACTTTCATGACTAAGGGCCGGTTGTACCAACTCCCGATAAATTTACCCGATAGATAAATTGGCGCACTTAGAAAATGAGAGCGCTTAAAATCGCTGTATCCATGGTAATTATCCGTTAGATTTATCGGGAGGTGGTACAACCGGCCCTAAGGGCCGGTTTATCAATATCTAGTTAAGACGATTTGTCTGTTAATTAAAATTGTAGCTGACAGATAACGTCGACGAATCGTTTATCCACCCGTAGTTTAGGGTAATCTTATAGATAAATATGACAGTTGGATACCCACCAGATTGAAGTACTGGTTAAGGGTTTACCTATTAGATATTGTCAAAAAAATGTGAGCACAAGTTTGGTTGCTTGGTGAAAGGAAATGACAATAAAATCAAAATATAACGTCAAAAATAAATTAAGCTTATAATTGTGGCGATGGATAAGCAAGAGAAAGAAAAGATCATCAAATTTTAGTACAGCAGAAAAGAACTTGCTGATGGATTTGGCAAACGAATATAAAAATGTTATAGAAAATAAATAATAATCTAGTAATTAAAAAAAAAAAAATAATATAATCTATAATCTAATATAGTATAATCTCGTCTTAATTTTAACCAAGATTGACAAAACTGTGTCCTTTTTTAACCGAAATTTAACAAAAAAACGTGTTTGTCCAACTTCTCAAAGTGGTTTTGACTTTTGTCTTTCTTTTATAATATATGGTCGTCGTTTATAATTTAAGAATTGGTCAATATCCTCATCTTTATCGCTGTCTAATAAATATTCATGTAGGAATTCCATTATAAAAGAGGTTTTCGAAAACAAAGCTCAATACCGAAAGCACACGAGAATGATAACCTCCAAAACATGATCAGCTGTTTATATCAACTTCACAAACTAAAGTCAATTATTCAAATTTCACCAATTATGTTTCATTTCCGTTTCTAATGTTAACACTCAGGGGTACCATCTATGTTCTATCTCGTAGGTTGCTGCCTGTCGGGTAGAAAGTTGCTGGATAAACGGTTCACTGAGGTTATCTGTTAGGCAAGTTTATCCATGAGTTGCGTATCTAACAGATTTAACTCGACATTGATAAACCGACCCTAAGTGTAACAACGAACAAGATAAAAATATTTTGTAATAAAATAAATTAGATATGTTCTGATCAACCATGTAACAATTGAGGAGGGTTTTATAGGTTTTAAATATTAGTTTACCACAATTGTTGGATTGATTGTATAACTGAATGACGTTTATGTTATTAAATGTCATTAGACATGACATTTAGGCTAGTTACTACCATCTTCCGGTTAAGCTATCTAAGGGATTATTACCACGGTTACGGCTATTTTACGCGCTCTGATTGGCTAGTAGATGGGTTTGTCTATAAGATAAATTTAACTAAAAGATGGTAGTAATGGACCTTAGGTCCATTAGGAGTAACGAGCCTTAGGCTCGTTACTACCATCTTCTGGTTAAGCTATCTAAGGGATTATTACCACGGTTACTGCTATTTTATGCGCTCTGATTGGCTAGTAGATGGGTTTATCTATAAGATAAATTTATCTAAAAGATGGTAGTAATGGACCTTAATAACATAATAAATGTACTGTTAAGTTGTAAGTGGTTTGTTCCCAATAAAAATATACGTTGTGCTTTGTGAAAGACAATCAAGTTCTTTATAGAAAAAACTCTTTTCAACCACACTCTGCTATCAAGAATACTAATCTTAAAGAACATGTGAAGAATCAATCACCAAATGTACAACTAGCAGTAATATTATAAAGTTTTAAATGAAATCATGAAGATATTAGTTCAATTTTAGATTTCTATAAAGGTGTATTTCATGTATTTAACTTTATTAAGGGTAAAACATCATAAATTAAGCATAATTTTTAAAATCAATTGAGCTTTAACTACATAAATAAAGCTTTAAATATATTTACATGTAAATTCTTAAAATTTATTAACAATTATTTATTTTAAATATTTAAAGTTATTTGAATAATATCAATAAAATAAGTAAAATCAAGTTTAAGGTTATGTTGAGCTGTCAAAATAACAGCTCTAAAAGAATGGAAATAAATTTCAATAGAATTTAGGTAGAAATAATAAACATGATATTTAAAGTTGGTTTAAAATAAAATAAATAAAATTAAGTTTAAGATATTTAAAGTTGGTTTAAAATAAAATAAGTAAAATCAAGTTTAAGGTTATGTTGAGCTGTCAAAATGACAGCTCTAAAAGAATGGAAACAAATTTGAATAGAATTTAGGTAGAAATGATGAACTTGATATTTATAATTGGTTTAAATGAAAACTAACCTGTCTAATGGTACGAAATTCATCTTCCAAATTATGAGCCCAAACGTCCCTGATGCCACACTCTTCATTATTGGGATGTTGCGAACTGCCTATTGTGGCGGCGGGCATCTCGCTCTTATCGCTGGTCAGTTGGGTCCACGGGTTTTGTACCCAGATAACATTCGTATGAGAAGGGGCCGGTGGCTCTGCAATGGTATTGGTAGTGGTGGTCCCGTAAATGACTCTACCCGATGATGAAGCGCTCCGAGTATGGTAACAATGATGGTGATGGTGGTCGTCCTCCTTAATATTGACGGCGTTCAGCTGCACCTCGATGTCATTCTCATCGATTAATCTCATTGATGTAATTTTGCAATGTCTGTAAAGAAAGAACGAAAAAAAAAGTAAGGTTAGTTTTTTGATGTTTGATGATTAAATGTGTTTGTGTGAGTTTTGTTTGAAAAAAAGTTTGATGGGGAATTGAATTGAGTTAATAAAATGTATGAGGATTGTGTTAAAGACGGGTAAATCAGAAAAATTAACCTCTCTACGTCGTCACACCACATCAGAGACAGATCAGAGACGGATTATTTATACGTCAAGAAACAACAAATGAAACGGATCCCTTTTTTTTGCCATTTACCGCTACGTACCCATTTCGTCTATCCCCCGTTTTTAGTGCAGCTGTTTGGGCCCCCGAAACGTGTTTACGATGAAAAAAATGCGATAACCCTTTGTGTGATTGCGAGACTCCACTGACATAAATTTTTACCGAAACCCGAGATACGAACCGAAAACGCGGGCCTCACTTTCAATTAAACCGCAATATAAAGAAAAAAAACGCGCACACCCGCAACAAACTAATACGTTATACTCACTATTTAACACCTTTAATTAATTAAAAAACTATCCGGAAATCATGCAAACTCCTTTTAATTTCTGATATTTCCATACGTTGTCATTTGACGCCATCTTTTTCTCGGCGTCCAAACGCAGTCTATCTTCAAATCTAACCTTAATAAACAAAAAATTCCCTACATTTTTTTGCGTTATTAAACTAAATTGTTATATTTTTCATACTCATTAAAACAATTAAAAGAAATATATCGTTTTCAATTTTAAGCATTTTTAAAAGTACTTAAATAAATCGATTTAGTACAAAGCGCCATCTTTTATTTGATAGGAACACCACGTCACTCAAATCAAACTGTAATATCCTACATTAAAAGCGGGAAATTCAAATTTGATTCTGACACATGATAAAATCAATTTAATATTTTCGTGTACATAAATTACTCGCGTTAATGTAAAAAACGTAAATTAAGTTAGCTTAATTAAAAGGGGGAAAAGAGAAAAGGTTAATTGTGAAAAATTGAAAGGTTAATTACCCTTACTACAGTTGTGAATACAAATTGTAATTAAGCTATCATTTTCCTTTACTGAAGCATTTTATTAGATGTTCTCGTTTGGTTTTATGAAGTAATAAAAAAAAGTTTAATAAAAACATAAACATTTTTTTATTATGATTTTTTAAATCCATTTATGCATGTTATATTGCAATAAATTTTAAAAATTTATATTTAAAAATCGTATCTCAATAATGAATTTAATTATGATGCTGACGTTTAAAAACATTTTCAGGGAAATTTAATAATGATTTAATCCATTTTAAAATAAACTTTTATGTATCAAATTGTATTAACCCTTTGTGTCCCAAGAAGTCAAAAATTTTAAAACTGTGTGACAGAATTAAAACGGTATCAAAAAACACTCAGTAAAGGCCTTTGAAATCAATTTTAGCAAAATATGCAATCTCCCCATTCCAGAGGGATAATGGTACTTGAGAGTACCACAAGCATTGCACTTCCTCTTTCTTTTGTGTATATTGTGTTAATTTGAATATTTATTTATCAGACCTGTAGCTACAGAACGACGAAAATCTGATAGAATATTGAGAAAAAATATATTGAGCAAAAACTAACATTTTCGCATAATCTAAGTGTCAAAAAAGATGCTAATTCAAAAATGCCTGGAAGCCGTGTTTATTCAAATTAAGAAATTAAACTTATTTTAAATTGAAGCTTAAAGCTTTCTGTTTAAATCGATATATAATAATCGTTGAGTTGAATTGGAAAAATATTCAGAAAAAAAATTTTGAAACAAACCCTACATTTTCGTATAACCTAAAAGTGTCAAAAAAGATGCTAATTTAAAAATTCCTGGAAGCCGAATTTATTGAAATTAAGGAATGAGACTTGTTCTAAATTAAAGCTCAAAGCTTTCTCTTTAAAATGATGTATAATAATTGTTGGGTTGGATTGGAAAAATATTGAGAAAAGAAATTTTGAAACAAACCTTACGTTTTCGTATAACCTAAAAGTGTCAAAAAATATGCTAATTTAAAAACTCCTGGAAGTCGTATTTATTGAAAATAAGGAATGAGACTTGTTCTAAATTAAAGCTCAAAGCTTTCTCTTTAAAATAATATATAATAATTGTTGGGTTGGATTGGAAAAATATTGAGAAAAGAAATTTTGAAACCAAACTTACATTTTCCTATAACCTAAAAGTGTCAAAAAAGATGCTAATTTAAAAATTCCTGGAAGCCGTATTTATTGAAATTAAGGAATGAGACTTGTTCTAAATTAAAGCTCAAAGCTTTCTCTTTAAAATGATGTATAACAATTGTTGGGTTGGATTGGAAAAATATTNATTTTAAAACTGTGTGACAGAATTAAAACGGTATCAAAAAACACTCAGTAAAGGCCTTTGAAATCAATTTTAGCAAAATATGCAATCTCCCCATTCCAGAGGGATAATGGTACTTGAGAGTACCACAAGCATTGCACTTCCTCTTTCTTTTGTGTATATTGTGTTAATTTGAATATTTATTTATCAGACCTGTAGCTACAGAACGACGAAAATCTGATAGAATATTGAGAAAAAATATATTGAGCAAAAACTAACATTTTCGCATAATCTAAGTGTCAAAAAAGATGCTAATTCAAAAATGCCTGGAAGCCGTGTTTATTCAAATTAAGAAATTAAACTTATTTTAAATTGAAGCTTAAAGCTTTCTGTTTAAATCGATATATAATAATCGTTGAGTTGAATTGGAAAAATATTCAGAAAAAAAATTTTGAAACAAACCCTACATTTTCGTATAACCTAAAAGTGTCAAAAAAGATGCTAATTTAAAAATTCCTGGAAGCCGAATTTATTGAAATTAAGGAATGAGACTTGTTCTAAATTAAAGCTCAAAGCTTTCTCTTTAAAATGATGTATAATAATTGTTGGGTTGGATTGGAAAAATATTGAGAAAAGAAATTTTGAAACAAACCTTACGTTTTCGTATAACCTAAAAGTGTCAAAAAATATGCTAATTTAAAAACTCCTGGAAGTCGTATTTATTGAAAATAAGGAATGAGACTTGTTCTAAATTAAAGCTCAAAGCTTTCTCTTTAAAATAATATATAATAATTGTTGGGTTGGATTGGAAAAATATTGAGAAAAGAAATTTTGAAACCAAACTTACATTTTCCTATAACCTAAAAGTGTCAAAAAAGATGCTAATTTAAAAATTCCTGGAAGCCGTATTTATTGAAATTAAGGAATGAGACTTGTTCTAAATTAAAGCTCAAAGCTTTCTCTTTAAAATGATGTATAACAATTGTTGGGTTGGATTGGAAAAATATTGAGAAAAAAAATGTTGAAACAAACCTTACGTTTTCGTATAACCTAAAAGTGTCAAAAAATATGCTAGTTTAAAAATTCCTGGAAGCCGTATTTATTGAAATTAAGGAATGAGACTTGTTCTAAATTAAAGCTCAAAGGTTTCTCTTCAAAATGATGTATAATAATTGTTGGGTTGGATCGTAAAAATATTAAGAAAAAAAATGTTGAAACAAAACTTGCATTTTCGTACAACCTAAAAGTGTCAAAAAAGATGCTAATTTAAAAAATTCCTGGAAGTTGTATTTATTGAAATTAAGGAATGAGACTTATTTTAAATTAAAGCTCAATGCTTTCTTTTTAAAATGATCTGTAATAATCACACCTAATAACCATTTATCAAGGAGATATCTTTTTGAAGAACAAAATTCAAAAACCCCACTTTTCACTAAACTTCTAACCTCATATCTGGACGAATAAGTTAAAATATACCTAAAAACCCTACAGTGCAGATTACGTCATTTTTTATACAGATTCTTTCTTGTATAGCAAAAAGTACCGACTGCTCTAAATGAACCGAATAGATGACTAAAGTTTAAAATGAGTGTTTAAAACTACCGATACTTTAAAGTAGCGTCGGGACACAAAGGGTTAAACTACCAACGATAACATAACATTAACAGCTAAACAATATCGGTGACAGAAAGAGCTTAACACATTTCTAATTTAACACTCTTGTCATCATCATGTGGAGCGAACCCAACCTCCCTTGGTGCAGAAACAATGAAGTCCATGTTTGACATTAATCCGAACAAAGTAGAAGGAACTTTCACTCGTAGAAGGAAGCTACAATTCAGAACCCTCTTCATTGAAGACAGAGCTATTAACCTCAAAACACAAGAATACCTAGGGGTAATACTGGATAGTAAATTAAAGTGGAACTCCTACATAATCAAGGTGAGGAAAAAGGTCATTATGGCTAACTAGATCTGCCACAGGCTTCTTGGAAGGAACTGGGGTCTTAAACCACAAATGGCCTACTGGGCTTATGTGGCAATAATTAGATCCATGGTCGCCTGTGACTCATTAGTTTGGTGGCCAAAAACAAACTCGACCCATGTCTAAACCACTTGATTGAAATTAAAACCCATCGTATATCGACAGAATATAATTTCGACGAGCCATATAAGGTCATATTTAGAAGCAAGGATGATTGGACGAAGGGTGAGCCTCAACTCAAAAGAGGAGCCCTTGCTTGGTACACCAATACTTCAAAGACAGTTGGAACCGGAGTAAGTATGGGCATTAGTGTACCGTTGACTGCTTAAGGGAGGTTCGTTCTGTAATCGGTAACTTATATGAAAGGGTTTTCGATCTCGAAATGTACTCCCGGCGGAATTGCCTGCTAATTCATGGAATTTCGGAGGATGTAAAAGAAAATAGATTAAAGACGTCAATATTGGGGCTGATATGCTGTACCGCAGTCACCGCCTTGTGGCTCTAAGGCGATAAGATGCATCTGGCTCTGGTTCGTCGCCACATCCTCGTTCCATCATAGTCAAATTTGTCACCTATAACCTACGCAATCTAATTTGGAACAATAAGAAACAATTGAAGAGAAAGCGATACTGTATATCTGAGTCTTCGCCTCTATTTGAAAGCTAAAGCTGTCGTCGGTCCTCGCAACGCTTGGATGTCTGATGGACGTCCATTTGTCGGCCTATCAAAGGATAAACAGAAGATTATCCGGAGAATGTCCGATCTTGATGCATTCACGTAGGATTTGTACCCGAGCCACCAGGTCGGAATAACTATTGGTTATTTTGTTTTGTTTTTTTTTGTCTTGCTTTTCTCTTTTTATTTAAACTCGTTTGCCCCATTATGTACGATATATCTTTTTAGAAGTGGTTGACCTGCTCCGTTCTGTCACTGTATCGTCTGTCACTGGCTGGTTTTTGAATGACTCAATCCGTAATTGCGTTGCGTCACTGAAGTGAAGAGTAAATTGAAATTTATTCTTTTTCCACTGTTATTATACGATCTTACCAGTTATATAATGATGGACCTAACTAAAGCATTTGACAGTGTCCACCATAACATCTTATTGAAGAAGTTAGAAGCTATAGAGATACGAGGACTTGCGCTGGACTGGTTCAGATCTTACTTGTTAGAAAGAGAACAGCGGGTGGTCTCGTATGATCAAACTGGTGCTGAAGTTACTTCAAACTGGACACATTAGTTTTTGACAAACATATAACATAGAACATATTTCGGGACAATTGTGCACGACCATTTATCTCGTAAGAAATCTATTTAGTAAAATCAG